TCAAACATGTTAGACATGAAGGAACGAAATTCGTTTCCCAGGTCCGGCAGCGTAATACAGAATAAATAACAATTCAATTCTCAGATAAACCCCAATAAAACGTATAAAATGGATTATATATATTACATTAAAGCTGCAAGCAGCGATGGGCGGGCCCTCGCACCTGTAGCACGTCGGGGTCTGAGGCGGCCGCGTTGCATTTTCTGCAGCTCAGCCAGTGCGGCTGTGTATTTACTACGCTGCTTCGTTAAAGGTCACTTCCTGTTGCCAGCAGGTGGCGCTATGACTGTGGGTGAATGTCGGAATGTAGATTTGTTCAGGGCGGGACTCTCGTCAAAGGTGTAAAATTTCATACATATCTGGGCTTTTACAGTCAAGTTACTACAACTTCCTGTTTCAAGGCGAATCATCGACGCCACGGACACGCCCATCGACGAAAACCCGCAGATAGCACAACTTTACATCGTCAATGCCTTTAGAAGGCACAGCAGAAATGTGAAGTCGGTCCGACTAAATCCCTAGGAGGAGTTCGTTAAAGTACGGAGTGTGTAAATCGTCCAAAAATGGCCTCCAAATTCAAAATGGTGGACTTCCTGTCAAGTTTAGGGCATCGCTCCAAGAGGCTGTTTTGTGCGTCTGGTCATAGTAGATGTACCACAGAAGTTTCGTACATGTCGGTCAAACAAGCGGCGGGGGCTGCTTCGTTTAAGGTCACTTCCTGTTGCCACTAGGTGGCGCTATGACTGTGGGTGAATGTCGGCATGTAGATTTGTTCAGGGTGGGACTCTTGTCAAATGTGTAAAATTTCGTGCAGATCTGGGCATTTACAGCCAAGTTACAACAACTTCCTGTTTCATGGCGAATCATTGACGCCACGGACACGCCCATCGACGAAAACACGCAGATAGCACAACTTTACATCGTCAATGCCTTTAGAAGGTACAGCAGAAATTTGAAGTTGATCCAACTAATTCCCTAGGAGGAGTTTGTTAAAGTACGGAGTGTGTAAATCGTCCCAAATCGGTCGCCAAATTCAAAATGGCGGACTTACTGTCGAGTTTAGGGTATGGGTTCTTGAGGCTTTTTTGTACGTCTGGTCATGGTAGATGTACCACAGAAATTTCGTACATGTCGGTCAAACATATGGCGGGGGCTGCTACGTTAAAGGTCACTTCCTGTTGCCAGCAGGTGGCGCTATGACTGTGGGTGAATGTCGGCATGTAGATTTGTTCAGGGCGGGACTCTAGTCAAATGTGTAAAATTTCGTGCAGGTCTGGGCATTTACAGCCAAGTTATTACAACTTCCTGTTTCATGGCGAATCTTCGACGCCACGGACACGCCCATCGACGAAAACGCGCAGATAGCACAACTTTACATCGTCAATGCCTTTAGAAGGCACAGCAGAAATTTTAAGTCCATCCGACTAAATCCCTAGGAGGAGTTCGTTAAAGTACGGAGTCTGTAAATCGTCCAAAAATGGCCGCCAAATTCAAAATGGCGGACATCCTGTCGAGTTTAGGGTATGGGTTCTTGAGGCTTTTTTGTGCGTCTTGCTATGATACACATCCCCACCAAATTTCGTGCATGTAGGTTGAACGTGGACGAGGGGCTAATTTTTTCCAATTTTCTAGGTGGCGCTATCGTGCTATTTTGCCCCGCCCATCCGCGAAACCCACAAAATACGAAATTTTTCACCAGTCCTGACATGCGTGCCAAATTTGGTGAGTTTTTGAGCATGTTGCGGCCCCGAAAATGGCACTTACTTTGCAGAAAAAAGAAAAAAAAAATAATCCTAACAGTTTCAATAGGGTCCTCGCACTGTTAGTGCTCGGGCCCTAATTAAAATATCCTAACCATAAAAACAATCAAGACTATAACCCATCTGACTATAATCATCATAAAAGTGTCATGTGCAGTAGCAGCTATAGGCAAGCAGAGGGCAAGAGGAACCTAAACCGAGGAGTTCATAAGCCTCACTGCCTCTGGAAAGAAGCTGCACTTCAGTCTTGTGGTTCTTGCTCTAAGGCTACGCAGCCTTCTGCCAGAGGGGAGGATGGTAAACAGTTTATGCGCTGGGTGAGTGGAGTCCTTCATAATGTCCGATGCCCTGCCTCTGCACCTGTTGACATAGATCTCATCTAGGGAAGGAAGGCTGTCATTTGTTGTTATTCTCCTAGCAGACTTAACTACTCGCTGCAGCGCCTTCTTGTCGGCTGCAGAGCAGTTTCCATACCAGGCCGTGATGGAAAATGACAGTGTGCTCTCCACCACACACCGGTAAAAACAGGTCAGAATAGCAGGGTTGAGACCGGCCTGCTTTAACCTCCTTAAATAGTACAACCGTTGATGAGCTTTCTTAATAATGCTGGCTGTGTTGGTGTGCCATGTGAGGTCATTGGAAATGTACAGGCCCAGATATTTAAAGTTGGTCACCGTCTCTACAGCTACTCCCTCAATATAGAGGGGGGGAGGTAGGATTTGACCTCTCTTCCTAAAGTCCACAACCATCTCTTTAGTCTTTCCCACGTTGATGCGGAGATTATTTTCTCTACACCAAACCACGAGTTCCTCCACCTCCTGCCTATACGCTGACTCGTCATTGTTGGATATTAGTCCAATCACCGCCGTGTCATCTGCAAACTTCACAATGTGATTGCTCAGACGTGTTGCAGAGCAATCATATGTAAGAAGCGTATACAACAAAGGACTCAGGACGCATCCTTGTGGGGAGCCTGTGTTAAGTATAAGGGTGGAGGATAAGGTGCCGTGGATCTTAACCGACTGTGGCCTGTTTGTCAAAAAGTCCAGGACCCAATTGCACAGAGATGGTCTAAGTCCCAGCAGTACCAGTTTGTTGATTAATGACTGTGGGATGATGGTGTTAAAGGCAGATGTAAAGTCTAGGAAAAGCAGCCTGACATAAGAGTCCCTGTTCTCCAAGTGGGTAAGAGCAGAGTGGACGACAGTTGACACTGCGTCAGACACAGACCGGTTCCTTCTATAGGCATACTGATGGGGGTCCACAGTGATGTTAACAGTGTCTTTTATATGGGTCAGAACCAGTCGCTCGAAGCATTTCATGATCAGTGGGGTGAGGGCCACAGGACGATAATCATTCATGCTTTCAACCACTGTTTTTTTGGGCACTGGTACAATAATGGATGTCTTAAGACAAACAGGCACTGTAGCAAGGGATAGTGATAGGTTAAAAATGTCTGTTAGCACCCCAGTAAGCTCCTGAGCACATTCTTTCAGAACCCGGCCAGGGATGTTATCTGGCCCCGCTGCTTTGCGTGGGTTAATCCGCCGCAGCATCGTCCTCACTTCCTCAGCAGACACACTGATAGATGTTTCACCTGGAGGTATTGTAAGCTTGGTACTTTTGGAGGAGTTGGATAAGTCAAAACGAGCATAAAAGGCATTTAGTTCATCAGGCAGGGATGGGTCCAGAGGACATTCTGCGTCCTTGCCTTTATATCCTGTGATGCTCTTAATGCCCCTCCACATGCTCCTGGGGTCGTTGGTGTGAAAATGATCCTGTATCCGTAGGGCATAAGTAGCTTTAGCGTTCCTGATGCCATCCACTAATTCCCTCCTTGCTGCTCTCAGTGCCACTTTGTCCCCCGACCTAAAAGCAGAGTCCCGTGCTTTTAAAAGAGATCGCACTGCTCCGTTTAACCAGGGTTTCTGATTTGGATACATGGTTATTTTCTTGGTGGTAGTGACATCGTTGACACATTTGCTAATGTATCCACAAACGGATGATGCATATTCCTCCAGATCCACCCCATTTCTACCTGTTGCTGCTTCCCTAAATACCTGCCAGGCGGTACGCTCGAAACAGTCCTGTAACATGGAGACAGCCCCATTTGGCCACACAGTGATGGTCCTCTCTGTGGGCTTGTTATTTTTAATTACGGGATGATGAGTAGGAACCAGCAGGATGGAGATGTGGTCAGAGAAACCAAGGTTGGGGCGAGGCACCGCTCTGTATGCCTCCCGTCTGTTGGTGTACACCTGGTCAAGTGTATTGTTTCCCCTTGTTGCTAAGGTGACATGCTGATGGAAACGTGGCAGAACATCCTTTAGTTTGGCCTGGTTAAAGTCCCCTGCTACAATGAAAAAAGCCTCCGGATGCTTATTCTGGAGCTCACGGATGTGGTCATGAAGCTCCTTGAGTGCTATGCTAACATTAGCACTCGGGGGAATGTAAACAGCTACAATGTACACAACCGTAAACTCCCGGGGCAGATGAAACGGCCGGCATTTTAGTGATAGATATTCCACAGCTTCCGAACAGTGGCTGTTCACCTGACTACAGTTTGTACACCAGCCTTTGTTTATGTAAACGCATAGCCCCCCTCCTCGAGATTTACCTGACAGATGGTTACGGTCAGCTCGGAAGAGAAGTAGCCCATCAATCTGGTAAGCTGAATCCGGCATCTTGTTATTGAGCCATGTTTCCGTCAGGAGCATTGCACCACAGTTCCGCATTTCCGTGAAACTGCTCAGTCTTAGTCGCATTAGATCCATCTTGTTGTCTAACGAGCGAACGTTAGCCAGAAACAGTGTTGGAAGAGCCGGTCTGTTGCTAGCCTTTAGCTTAGCTAGCAAGCCCGCCCGCTTGCCCCTCTTCTGTCTCCGTGCACACCGCTTCCGCTTTCCCCTCAGCCAGTATGACCTGCTCCTCCGAGCCGCAGTCCTCAAGAGCCACATTCTGCCCAACATTGCTTTTAACTCTGGTCTAACCACCATATTGGGATCAGCAAGTTGAAGGAGTTCAGTTAAACTGTACCTCACTATACCTAAATTTAGTGTGTGCGTTACGCCAGTTGCCGGTAGCTGGAAAGCCGCTGCGCTGCTGCGCGCCGCCATCTCTCTAGAAGGTTTCTCTCTCTGATTCTCTCTTGTAGTTCATCCTTAAAAGTTTATCAGCCAGAAAGTGCAGCCACAACACATGTAGTATCTTTACACTGCATAAAGTAGACAACTACATTCATAAAGTTGAGTCAATGCTTTACTTGGTTTGTTTGCCCATACACACACCAGGCCGCCAGCATATCACATGTCTGTCTCCCAGATCAAACACAACACTTATATTACAATGACACCTAGTGGTTACTCCAAGATACTACATCCCCTCCTTCTTAAGTTAAGCACCAATAATAATTACAATAAATTACTTACAAAATGAAACAATATTACCCACATTCTAGATTTTTTTTTTTTTTTTTTTTTTTTTTTTAAACTCAACAACTATCTTAGTTATTGACTTAACTTATGTAACATAGTCTTTCAAGTAAGCAGGAGCACGTCTCTCTCTTGCCGACCTTCTCAGGTGTATAGGTTGGTTAGTCTCTTTTTCTACTACAGTCACTTCTATCGACGGTCCTCCTTCAAGCGAAGCCCTCTCCTGTTCAGCAGATGCATTAGTCACATCAGCAGGTGCATTAGCCACATCCTCACTAGACAATGTAGAAGTGTCACCATCCTGTTCATTTTCAGTGGGTAGTGCAGTCTCAAGCATCTCGTCTGTACAGCGTTTTCTTATTTGGTCCACATGTCTTTTCACAGTTAGTCCATGCCCTAGCACAGTCTTGTATGACAGAGGTCCTGTACAACATTCCACTACTGCAGGAATCCATTTGGTTCCACCACCATAATTCCTCACGTACACTGAATCTCCCACTTCAAAACTTCTAAGTTTGCAGCTTTTGTCATGGCTTTCTTTTTGTTTCTGCTGTTTTTTTAGAATTTTGGACTTCATATCGGGAATGAGTAAGTCGAATGTGGATCTCAACTTCCTTGACATTAGCATTTGAGCAGGTGACAACCCTGATGTTGCATGAGGAGTGATTCTATAATTAAACAAGAATCTTGCAACTCTTGTCTCCACAGTGTCACCTTTCATCTTTTTCATCCCCTCCTTGAAAGTTTGAACAGCTCGCTCAGCTAGGCCGTTTGAAGAAGGATGGTAAGGAGCTGACGTTACATGATGAATGCCATTGTTTTTCATGAACATTTCAAACTCATTACTGGTAAAACATGTCCCGTTGTCTGACACTAACATTTTGGGTAATCCATGAGTACTGAAACACATTCTCAGTTTCTCAATTGTAATTCGGGATGTGGCATGTGTGACAGGATAAACTTCCATCCACTTAGAATGAGAATCTACCAGAATGAGGAACATTCTTTCTAAGAAGGGCCCTGCATAATCTACATGAAGTCTTTCCCAGGGTGAGCTCGGCCATTCCCACGGGTGCAGAGGAGCTTGAGCAGGTGCCTTTCGGAAACGCTGACATACTTCACAATTCTGGACCACCCTCTCTACATCCTGATCCATACCAGGCCACCACATATAGGATCGGGCCAATCCCTTCATTCTTGACATACCAGTATGAGTCTGATGTAATTGCTTTAATATAGCCGCTCGACCTTGTGAGGGAATTATGATTCTCGCTCCCCAAGTCACACATCCATCTTTGACACTCAAAGCATCTCTCCTATGATGGTATGGTAACACTTGAGGCTCTACTTTCTCAGGCCAGCCCTTTAATATGTACTCATGTACCACGGAGAGTGTTATGTCGTGAGACGTCCATTTCCGAATTTGTGCTGCACTTACAGGTGAGTCATCCATTAAGTCCATCATCAGTACCTGATCATTAGTATCATCAGGTTCTCCCTCGCCTGGCGCTGGGAGTCTACTTAGAGCATCAGCATTTTGATGGTACTTCCCTGGCTTGTACACAATATTATACTGATATGCTTGTAACATTACAGCCCACCTTTGCACTCTGGGTGATCCCATTTGAGGAACTGCCTTCGTTTCATTGAACAAATGGATCAAGGGCTTATGATCAGTGCAAATAGTAAATGCCCGACCATACAAGTACTTATGAAATCTTTGGATGCCAAAAATCACAGCTAAGCCTTCTTTGTCCAACTGTGAATAACGCTTCTCTGCAGACGTGAGTGTTCTTGACATGAACCCAAGGGGTTTCTCCATACTCTCTCCTTTTCTACGCTGCGAGAGCACTGCACCCACCCCATAGGGAGAGGCGTCACAAGCCAGAACCAGTTCAGAATCTGAGGAATAATGAACTAGCACCTCGGCTGATTTTAGCAGGGATTTAGAGTCTTTGAAAGCTTCTTGTTGTGGCTTTTTCCACATCCACGGAACCTCTTTTCTCAGCAGCAGATGTAGAGGAGCTAGCAGCGTTGCCAGGTTGGGAAGGAACTTATTATAATAATTGAGCAAGCCCAGATATGCTTTGAGTTCTGCAACATTACTTGGTTCTGGTGCTTCTTCTATAGCTTTCACTTTAATTGCCATCGGATGTAAACCCTGGGCATCTACTCTGTGGCCTAAATATTCCACCTCATCTGCCAGGAACATGCATTTTCCCCGTTTCAATCGCAGACCAGCTTCTTTCAATCTCGCCAGCACTTCCTCCAGTGTCTTCAAGTGACTTTCTTGATTTACGCCAGTCACCAATATATCATCAAGATAAACAACTACTCCTTGAATACCTTGCAACAATCCCTCCATTGTTCTCTGAAAGATAGCAGGAGCGGAAGCAACTCCAAAGGGTAAACGATTATATGTGAATAACCCTTTTTGTGTATTCACTGTCAAGTATTTCTTGGAGTTTTCATCCATGATGATTTGTTGGTATGCGTGACTCATATCCAGTTTTGTGAACTGTTTTCCTCCCTCCAACCGAGCAAAAAGATCCTCCACCCTTGGTATGGGATACTGTTCCAATTTTGAGGCTCTGTTAACTGTGAGTTTGTAATCACCACATAATCTTACACTGCCATCTGGTTTCAGGATAGGAACAACAGGAGCTGCCCACTCTGAGTACTTCACAGGTGAGATGATTTTGTCCCGCAGTAGTCGATTAATCTCCTCCTCCACCTTTGTTTTCAGGGCAAATGGCACAGATCTAGGTCTAAAAAACCTGGGTGTGGCATCAGTCGGCACATGCAGCGTGGCAGTAGCACCCCTTAATGTCCCCAGCTCCTCCTTGAAAACTTCCGCATGCTGGAATAGCACCTGTTGCAACGTCATCTCCGACTGCACCAGCTTTATCTCACTCCATTGCATTTGAAGCTCTTCAAGCCAGGATCGGCCTAGTAAGCAAGGCCCTGTTCCCTTCACTATAACAAGTGGCATTATCTTTTCTTGCTGCTGGTATTTTACTTCTACATCAGCCACACCCACTATTCCCAATGGCTCTCCTGTATACGTTCTCAACTTGATTTTTGTAAGTCTCAGTTTGGGAGCTTCAGAATCTTTCCAGATGACCTTGTACATTTCCTCACTCATAAGACTGACACTACATCCAGTATCGATTTCAAAGTTTATCAGTCGGCCATTAACAATTAACTCAACAGTAAGGGGTTTTACTTTCTTCAGTGCATCAGTTTGTACACATGCCAACGTGAATGTTTCTTCAAATTCATCACTGTCATTATTGTCACTTACATTAAATGCTCGATGCGGCCGCACCCCTTTTCCACTTCTTCCAGTTATTGTGGGTCCACTCTGTTTACTTTTGTTACGACAGGCCCTGGCGATATGACCTATTTTTTCACACACATAACATTTGTCCTTCTTAAATCTGCAATCATTTGCTTTATGGTTTGTCCCACAGCATCTGTAACATTCTCTTAATTCTTTTTGTTCACTCATTTCTCCCTTTTTCCAGCGATCAGGTTTTCTCTCTTTATACATGACGCTGTTACATGCCTGTACGCTGGATTTACTTTGTAAGTCGAGCACATTTTTACTTGCCGCTTCATTGGCTACTGCAATTTTAAAAGCAGTCTCAAATGTCAGATTTGCTTCTGAGAGCAGCCTTCTCTGAATCCGATCATCATCTATGCCACAAACAAGTCGATCCCGCAGCATTTGATCCAAAGTTGCTCCATAATTACAATCTTGTGCCAAACGACGTAACTCTGCTACATATTCTGTCACAGTCTCTGTCGGCTTCTTCATCCTTGAATCAAATCTAAATCGCTGTACAATCTCACTTGGCTGAGGGTTGAAATGATTTTTTAGCAGTGTTACCAGTTGCTGAAAAGTCTTTTCACTTGGCTTTGTTGGACTCAGAATATTTCGCATCACACTGTAAGTTTGTGGTCCCACAACACTTATGAGAATAGCTCTTTGCTTACCCTCATCTTCAATTCCATTAGCCACGAAAAATTGCTCCAGTACTTCAGAATACTCTTCCCATGTTTGAGCTTGTGCATCAAATGCCGCTAGTGAGCCAATAGTTCCTGTAGCCATGGTTAATCCTCCATATGTTGTCGTCCCAGGCTTCTTTTTTTTTTTTTCTGGTTGTCACAATCCCATCCTCGTCGCCAAAAATGTAGTATCTTTACACTGCATAAAGTAGACAACTACATTCATAAAGTTGAGTCAATGCTTTACTTGGTTTGTTTGCCCATACACACACCAGGCCGCCAGCATATCACATGTCTGTCTCCCAGATCAAACACAACACTTATATTACAATGACACCTAGTGGTTACTCCAAGATACTACAGTATGTACAGTATACTTAGTATGTGGATTATAAATGGACCAGCAGTTACTGAGAAACAGAGAATGAAAAAAGAACAATGAGAATCATCAATCCTTCATTTAGAATGAAAGAATTTTAAATATCTTTGTCTGAGGCTGAAGCACACACTTGTTTCCTTGCTTCATTAGGCGGAAGACTTCAGATTTGTAATCTCCCTGTCTCATAATCAACTCTTCATCAGAAGAGAGATCGCAAGACACCGTCAGTCCATCTGAGAGAGAGAAAAGTGTACAAGCATTTATTTTCCAATTCACGTGCATCAGTTTTACTACATTTTCAACTCGTGTAAGAGTAAAAGTTGGTAATTTTGACTAAATGAAACTTTCTCTAAAAAGGATGCAACCATAAATTTTCAACCAGCTTTGTATTGTTACAATGACCATAGTACGTTGTGAGATTACAAATTTTATTAATATGTTTAATTTGATGTTTTAAATGGAGAAAGTCTCTAAATCTTTGAAAACAGTAGGAGTTCCCAGCATGACACTCCTGACTGTCTTTTGAACCGCACGGGAAAGCTATGCCTTTTCTGTTTCTCATCTCACCGTGTGAAAATGCCTGTTTGAAGTTAGAACAGCTGATATATTAATGTCTGAGACCATCTTGACTGTCCTGTGACCACACAGGAAAGTTTGTCTTTCCTGTTTCTCGTCTCACCGGGTGAGAATGCCTGTTTGAAGTTTTCACCTGCTCTGAGACCATTTGCCGTGGAGCTCGAGGGTCACATGCATTTACATTTGCTTTGTTTCAGTGTCCCCACCTTTTATGTAATCCCACCCTCTTTGAAATGTATAAATTAGAATGTAAGGTTCTTTTAAATCAGACTATCCTTGAGATGACTACAGCTATGCAATAAAGAACTTCTGCGTGAAAGATACGTCAAAAGTCTCCTGGTCTGTTGCATGGAAGAAAAACTTCACTACAGATGGTGCCGTGACCCGGATAGAGAAATCTTACCTGAATCAAGAACTGCAACAAAAGATTAACAGAGAAATCTTAGCTGAGTTCCAGAACATGATCTCAAAGCGGACTGAGTTCCAGAAAAAAAATCAACAAAAAAGAACTTTTCTGACTGAGTTCCAGACTGAATCTTTTCATACAAGCAACGATTCGGTGAGTTTTCACTCTATTCAAAGAACCAGATCAGTACCAAAGTTGTGCCTCTGCGCCGTCAGAGAGTTATCAGACAGCTGTAGTGTTTTGATTAACTAAAGTAATCCTTTAAAAGTTGTCTTTTAAAGATGATAGATATCATGTTGTCAGGCAGGGAAGATTTGACATTAAATGTTAATATTTTGGGATCCTCTGAATAAGTCAGGGAAGTTGTAAAATATCCTCTGAATAAGTCAGGGAAGTTTTGTTTAATGGAATAGTGCCTCTACGTTGCTAGAGAAGATATCCTCTAAACTTAGGGAAGATTAACATTACGTGTTAATATTGGTGATAACCTCTGTTCACAGAGAAGGATTAGCAATTTTTGTGCTAGTTATTGTGGTCGTATCCTCTAAAAGTTTTGGAAGGTGAAAGATCCTTTCCATTTTTCTTTCAGGGAAGATTAACGTAACATGCTAGTAGTTTGTGTTTGTTTTTTGTTATTTTGTGGTTGTTACCCTCTAAAAATTTATTTTAGAGATGAAAGTTTGATCCTCTGTACAAGCAGGGAAGATTAGCATAAAGTGCTTGTAATATTGTGGATATCCTTTGGTCTACCAAAGGAGGTTTAACAACAGTCGATCTGTGTAAACAAGTGTAGCCTCTATTGATCAGAGAAAGTTTAGTTTTTTGTGGGTGGTAAAGAATAATCACAAAATGGTTAGGAAAAATGCTAGGTTGGTTCCAACAACTGAGAAAAGTGGCCTTGCCACTCCATTGTGGTCAGATAGCGAATTTAAGTCATTGTTAGGAGAACACATTGACTCCATAGTGACTCAGTCAGTCAGATTGAATTTGACAAAGAAATTTGGCATTCACCCAGAAAAAGTTTGGTCTATAGATGAGTGTAAAAAAGTGCTAGGAGCAAGCAGGGCTCCAGACTAACTTTTTTTTACTAGGAGCGCTGTTGCCTCTGAAAATTTAAGGAGCGCAAGCATAAAATTTAGGGGCACACCTTAAATCAGCTTGCAATGCAATTATTCAAATTTCCCCCAAAATAACTGTAATACTGACAAATTCTTTAATAATAAATAGACTTAACATTATGATATGCTGATCTATTTCGACCTCACTCAGACCGTCACCACGGTCTTACCTTGAATGACGCCATTCTACTAGCTCTCCTCGAGACCTAATGTAAACAATGTCAGATGACTGACCCCAAGTGGTTGGTTCCCTATAAAATATCCGGATGAACCGAACACTTCCTCTTTGCCTTTCTCGCCTCTTCTGAGACCGGTTTGGAGAAAATCCGTGTGTATACGTTGATATTTGGAATCTTTACCCACTCAATCCGTCACTTTAAGTGCAGGCGCCCGGTGCCCCTGAGGATTGCGGTAATTATTTTCCCTTTTTCTTACTATTCAGGTGAGTGGTTGGTTTTATTTACATTACAAATTTACAAATTTGATTCATGTTAATATTTGTTTTGTAGGGATTGTATTCCGACGCTTAAAAAAGCATACGGATGTGGTGAGTAAAATACTAATATTTTTTTCTGCTCTATTATTCATATCAGTTGGAAGGAGCTTAATTGTTTACCCGCTGATCGGCTGTTCACAGCTGAGGGGACTCTGTCACCTGTTTTGATCTGATCTCTATAGAGAGCCTAAGTCCCTCCCCTTCCGGTCGACCACCATGGGGCCTTATTTTGGAAAAATATTGAATGGTAGTCAATGGCGAGAGACAACAAATATTTTGATCTCGTTTGAATTGTGCCCTGAATTACACGTATGATGTTTGTCAATTTAAAAGATACATTTTAAAGTAAAGAAAGTCGCAGTTTGATGTAAAACCGACTGTGAAAATATGTAATTACAAAGACTACAAACCCCAAAGGCACACATTTTCTCTCAATGAATGAAGCTAACTTTACTGAGGCTGTCTGTCATTGTTTCTATAGTCTTACATTATAATCGTAACGTTACGCCGTCATACCTGAGTGTTTTGTTCCAGACTGCACACACACGAGCAGCGGATCTCGTTTCGCTTCCCGGGAGATGTAGTTCACAGAGCGATTTTCACATAAAACTAAATGTTACTCTTCTGTTGTATGACAAACTGCGACGTTTTTGACTTTCAGAATTATCTTTTAAATTGACCAACATCATGTGTGTAATTGAGGGCACAGTTCAGACTGAATAAAAAGATAAGTTGTCTCTCACCATTGACTACCATTCATATTTTTTCCGAAATAAGGTCCCATGAGCCGGAAGCGGAGGGGCGGGACTTAGGCTCTCTATAGATAGGCGTTTTTGGTTAAAAAAAAATAAAAAAAAATCATTAGCATTTGTCAAACTCCTGTACGCAGGGTAGGGCATTATTACTAGGCTACAGCTGTACGCAGTTGTATTGTAATTATGAGTCAACCTATGTGTTGTTATTGTCATGCTACCATGCATCCTCGGGACGGACACCGGGAGTGTCCATCATGTCTGGGTATGGCCCATTTGCTGGAGGACATTGAGAGACCATGTCCCGCCGCAGCTGAGTTCTCCCTACAAGAAAGGGTGCAAAGAGCAAGACTTTTTGAACAAGCAACTAATGATAGAGGAGCATCAGCATCAATGGCTGAGGCACGCTCCCTTAAACGGAGACGGGAAAATTCTCCTGTTGAGGTTAATGATGGATCTACCTGTTCTGATGGAAGAAGGTCAAGGGCTTCAGATCTTCAAGCTGATACCCAGATGCAAATTCTTGCAACCTTGAGGGATTTGGCTGGTAAGATGGATGTTTTTAGGCCACAGAATATTGGTTTAAACACACAACAGCATGCAGCTCCATCTGTTGTCTCTGAAAATGATTTCCCTCCAAATCAGGGAGGAAGAGGTAACATTCCTGACACCATTTCTCTCCATGCTCATGACTCGCTTTTTGGTAGTGATGATCAGGATATGGGTGAGGAAGATCAAGGAGATGAGTCCAGGTCTTCTGCTAATGATAAGGATGTTGCACAACCTGACATTCTTACCCGAATTCTAAGTGCTGCAAGAATTTTAGGCCTGGAAACATCGGCCGAGACATCAACTGCACCAGTGGTGCGAGGAGTGTGGTCTGGGGTTGCCCAATCCCAACCATCTGTTTCAATCCCTGTTACTGAGGATTATTCACAAAATGTTAAGCAAAGCTTGGAATAACCCCAAAGCTGCACCCCAGTTCAATGCTGGTTGTAGACGTTTTGCTAATGTACAATATGCTACAGAAACGGGCATGGCAGGTATGCCAGCGGTGGAGCGTGAAATGGTCTTTAACACCCTTGGGTTTAGACCGGGTGACTGATGACCCAAGATGTCCCCGGAAGGAGTGTGAGAAGACAGATAATTTAGTGTGTCGAACCTACAACTCGGCCACACGTGCAGCCCGATCTGGTAATGCCTTAGCCATAATTCTGGCCTCTTTACGGAAACTTATAAATCCACAGGATCAGGACATCATGCGTAGGCCCCCGTGGCCAGCTGTGCGCCAAGGCATCTGTGCCGAGCGTGCCCTCGGTCAGAGAGTAAAACAGGGCGCAATGGGATGAGTCGTGGGAAGCGAATAGATCTATCTGTGCATCCCCGAACTGGTCCCATATCAGCTGGACCGACTGGGGATGGAGTCGCCATTCGTCAGAGACTGGACGGAACCGCGACAGCTCATCAGCTGCCAGGTTCTGCTCTCCTGGAATGTAAATAGCACGAAGGGACCTCAGGTGCTTCTGACTCCATAATAGGAGGTGGCATGCGAGTTGCGACATACGACGTGAGCGTAGACCACCCTGACGGTTGATGTACGCTACTATTGCGGTATTGTCTGAACGGACT